CCCAGGGCGTGTGAGATTGCTTCCGCGGGCATCTAAGCATGGCAATTTGTCGAGGCTGGAAATTACGGCTCTTTCTGAAGGTCTAAAGTAATTGAATTCTCCCAGTTTTATCTTCCTCATCATCTTCCAGCAGTTCTTAAAATATCTCATCATGTGGAAACACTGACATTTCTTAATCCCATTTCCTAAATTATAGTTCAAACAGATTCTCCATGCTGCCTAGGTCGTGGTAAAAAAAAAATTGGATTTTTAAAGATAAGTGTTCATTCTTTCAGGCCACTAAGGTCCCACTTAGTGCGTCACGAGACAACTTTGTGTCCTGGAAATAACTTAAGCCCTAGGGAGAGAAGAATCCCTTGAGATCCATCAGGAGGAAGCATAGTACACACCAGTGTTGTGTCCTGGTGACAGAACACAACACACAGCAAGCAAAGACCAGTGATGGAGCTCGTTGGCATGTGCTTTTATAACCAGCCCTTCCTGGGACCTTCCTTACTCCAGGCCAAGAACATAGTTCTAAACATATATACGTATATAAATGTGCTTAATACTCTCAACGACTATGAGGTAGGCACTATGATTTTTTTTTTAGGTAGGTACTATTATTATCCTCATTTTATTGATGAGGAGCTGAAGCACAGAGAAGAACAATAACTTGCCCACACTCCCACGGTAACTGGTGGCACCAGGAATTGAGCGCAGGCAGTCTGATTCTAGGACCCTCGTCCTTTGACTTTCTACGGTACCATTTCTCAGAACCAAAATATTCCATATCATTTATTCCATGAGACTGAGGGGTGTCTATAGCCCTGACTGTGGACATCATGCCATCATCAACTAATGCTAGTTAAGTCTGGTGACCAGTGTGAGTGCCAGTTTTCTTAGTATAACTGCAGAGATGGAAGTCAGAGGCTCCATTTCCTTCCATCATCAAAGACTACCTAGTTGTTAAAAAGCGTGGGCATTCCTCGCTTATCGACTCTTGTGAGTTCATCATAGGATCACAGAACAAGAGAGTTGGAATGAACCTTGAGATATCATCTAGCAATTGGATCTGGAAATAAGAGGTCAACATATTTTCATTGATAAACAAGGTCTGTCCTCCTAGTTTAAATGCCCATAACATTCTGTACTTCTGTACTGTTGGTGCATAAGATCCGTCCGCCTGTCTTCCTCACTCAGCAGCCAGTCCATCCGCCTGTTTCTGTTTCACTCACCGCTCACCTCCAGTGCCTAGGACTTGGGGAGCCACTCAGTACATATTTGTTGACTGGCCAACTGACCGACCGACCGATTCACTAACTCCCCTAAGGCAGGCCCTGCAACAACACCTGCTTCACCACCACCTCTGGGATTGGCTGTGTGATACAGGGCGAGTTACTGGACAGGAGCCAGATCCCAGGGCCAACTGCCAGGGTCTGTATCCTGGCTGCACCACGTATTAGCTCTGTGACCTTGGAAAAGTGACAGAAGCCTGTTTCTTCATCTATTAAATGGGCATAATAATAGCACCTCCCCATAGGGTTGCCATAAGGAGAAAACTAGAGATTCGCTGTAAGCTTTCCCTAGATCAGCACGTAGTAAGTAGTGTGTGCTATGTGCTATCTTCCCAAAGCCAGCACTCTACAACCCACCCAGCAAAGCAGCAAGACAGTGGGCTCCAATAACGTGTGTTACTTTTAAAGGTTGCCAACCCCTGCTCTAAATAGTGCAGAGGACAGGGCTACCTGTTCTAAAACTTTGCCCCCAAAAACCATATGGCCTCTGTACATAATCCTTTCCAAAAACATCACTTTGCCTATCCAAAAGTATTTGTCTTACTATAACATCTTTGCTAATTAAATGATTTTTACTTAATTAAATAAATCCAAACTCTCAGGTTAATGTAGTTAAGCCAAACCCTTCACAGAGTTTACAAAGCCCTTCAAGATTTCACCTCTGCTTAACCCTGAGTTCTAATCCTCCCACCTTCCCTTTTATCCACATAGAATTTGTTCTTTGAAAGTCCCATGTTCTCTCTCCCCTCCATTCCTTTTTACGTGTTGTTTCCTCAGCCTGGCTTACACTTCCTGCCCTTCTTAGCCTTCGGTCTCAGCTAAGCCATCACTTCCTTCAGAAAGCTGCCCTTTCCCCCAAGATGGGATTGGATGTCCCTCCTGAGCCCTGATGGCCACTCATCACTCTAATCACAAATAGCTCATTTCCTGGTCTGTATCCCCCACTAGGCTGTGGGCTCACCACTGTATCCCCCTAACTTAGTATGTGCTCAATAAATACAGAATCAGTGAACGAGCAAATGCATGAGGAAAGTTAAATTCTGTCGAATCAAGTGAATGAATGAACGAGGAGAGTTAGGCTCACTTTTTCCTTTCAATATATCATAGATATGGGAAATGGCATGTTCCTTCATTTCAAAAAATCTTTATATCTTTATTTACTTGAAGATGTACTTTCATCTTTTCTTCCCCATCTAAACAACCACTGCTGAACCTTATACTTAATGCAGCACAAGATAAGCCCTAAAATCATTCACTGATTTGGTCCAATGCAGGAAGTTTTTCTGCATGTTTAGATTCTAATTTACTGTTGTTGGTTTTTTTTAATATCTAAATAAAAATAAAATAAAATAAATATCTAATGCCCAGTTATTGATGGAAGCATCACTTGTTGCCTCTTCTGCCCATAGCGCAGGGTAGAGGTTAGGGAAGGAAGGATAACCCTCTGTCCCTACTGCCCAGGACCTTAACCAGGTGAGAAGATGCGGTTGCCATAGTGAGAAGTGAAATAAGCACAAATACAGAACATGAAGTAAGCTATATTGTCTCATTTTGATTTTATGCAACCTTGAGAAATAAACAGAACAAATATAATTGATCCCTACTTACAGATGACAGAAACCAGCTCGGAGGTGACGTGATTTGCCAGCTGATGCACAGATAGGTAGTGGCAAACCCAGAACTTAAGCCCAGGTCTGTCCAGTCCCAAATCTAGATTATGCCCTGCTGGCCCCCTCCCTGCCCCTGGGACACTACATGCCCAGTGACCCTTGGAGCCAAGTGAAAGGCAGGGCCCAAAACTCCTGTAAGTTCGCATGAGGGGACATCACATGGAGAAACCTCCTCAAAGCCTCAGAGGCAGGCAGCCCTGTGGAGTTTCGGGAGCGGGGAGTTGCACGGTTTGATGTCAATTTCCTGACAAACGTGGACCATCTCCATTCAGGCACTTTGCTGGAGGAGAATATCATTTTTCTTCCCTTGGTGGAAAAGGAAGAGAAGCCTATCCCAAGAAGTCTTCTGTCTTAATATGCAAACTAAAAATTCAAAGTGACAAGGGGAATTCCCTGGCAGTCCAGCGGTTAGGACTCAGCGCTTTCACTGCCGTAGCCCGGGTTCAATCCCCAGTCGGGGAACTAAGATCCCATCCCGCAAGCCTCGCAGCGCAGCCAAAAAAAAAAAAAAGACACTAAAAATTCAAAGTGACAATTAAGCAAGACATAGGAGTTGGGGCTTTCTGCTCTAGTTTTTGCTTTACATCAAATCAAAGAACTCTAGGTCCACATTAAGAAGACGAAATTAACATTAGGGGCACCATTAGTTTGTTTACCCAGCATAAAATTATGTCCTCTATAAACGGGAATATCAAATAGCATAAAAAGCCCAGATGATTTACATTTTCTTTTTGATTAGAGGATTGCATCTACTGTACCAAGGAAGGAAAATCTCTCCCATTTAGCTTTTGAAGATCAAAGCAGCCATTAAATATGCCATATTACCAGCATTTTTTTTTTTTCTTTTTTGGTTAAGACTAGGAGGTACTTTGCAAATTGAGATCGTCATAGAGAAAAGGGAGGACTTTATTTGGAGTCATATGTACTGATTACAGACCAGTTCACTCCCCTCGGGCTGGACCCTGTGCTTAACCTTTTATTCAGATAGGGCTGTCTACAGCTTAAAGCTCACACTGACCTGTCTACTGAGTTTTGTGTACATAGACTTGACCAAGAGAGTACAAACTGAGAGCTTTCAGAGGCACCATCTGATTCCAAAAGTTAGGGATCTTTCTGTAGCACATTTGATAAAATCTACAAAGACGAAATGAAGTCACAAGTAAAAATCACTGATACAGGAGGATGAACCTATGTAGGTATTCAGTTGGGATAAGTCTTGCTTTCCTCCCACGAATGGCTCAGACTGAGTCATTGTTCAGGCAACAGTCGAATTTCCCTTCCCAGATAAACAGCTAAATGTGTAGATCACTAGCTAAGTGTGAAATCCATTTTATCTTCAGCAGCTTGGTACTTATTCAACTTATGGTGTGTCTTAAGTAACAGCATTCTTTGCATCAAGGCCATTTACTGGTTTAACATTATAGACATTTGTTTTCCAGCATATATAAATTAACCATCCCCCATCTTTTTAAAATCACTGAATTGTACACTTGATTTTTTAAAATTTTAAAAATAAATTTATTTATTTATTTATTTTTGGCTGCGTTGGATCTTTGTTGCTGTGCACAGGCTTTGTCTAGTTGCAGCCAGTGGGGGTTACTCTTCATTAGGGTGCACGGGCTTCTCATGTTGCGGGGCATGGGCTTTAGGCATGCGGGCTCAGTAGTCATGGCTCGCGGGCTCTAGAGCACAGGCTCAGTAGTTGTGGTGCACGGGCTTAGTTGCTCTGCAGCACGTGGGATCTTCCCGGACCAGGACTCGAACCCGTGTCCCCTGCATTGGCAGGCAGATTCATAACCACTGCACCACCAAGGAAGTCCCCATCCCCCATTTTTATTCCATATTTCAATGAACTTAGATAATTATGACTTTTTGCCCTTATGTGTAGTGTGTAGGTCTAATTTGAGCCTGGGATGTGTCTTTCCCATGTAGATAGTAAAAGGAAAATTGTAGGAGAAAGATGGAGATTGATTTTGAATAAGATGATCAGCTAAAGAGAACGAGTAAATCTGTTTGGATAAAGGACTTGACATTTCTTTTCTGCTTTGGGCAGTCAACAACCCATAGAAGACAAATACTCAGACCTGCGCTATGACCCAAATTGGAAGAGGAAAAAAGAGGAAGGGAAGTTGTTGGCTGTGGAAGCACTGCCAGAGTCTGTGGACAGCTCTGCAGAAAATCTGACTTTGAATCCACTTTACCCTTCCAAGGAAACTTCGATGGAACTCTCAGGGGGGAAAGGTGAACAGAAGAGCCCACCGAGCACAGCCTCCTTACCTGGGAGTGAATTTTTAAGTCCAAACTACGAGCATGGTGCCCATCGCAGCGGGCCATTTTCAGTGCTGAGCAGCAGTGACCCGGAGGAGAAGTCCAGCAACCTCTCTCAGTACTTGAAGAGTTCAAGTTCACAGAGTGAGGTATTCCTGCCGGGATCACACGGCCCTCGGCGAAGGAAGTCCAAACAGTATTTTGTGGAAAAAAACAAACTGACTTTGGGATTACGCACTCCGAAAACGGACTCTTATCTTCAACTTCACAATAAAAAAAGGCGGGAAACTCACCCAGAACAGGTATGTAGCAGCCACCTAAAAATCCCTTCTGAGCACTAGACTGGAATTTGCCTTTGTTTGAAATGGCCAGGTATCACTTCCTCTGGGATGGTGACGTCATTGTAACCACCTGGCTGAGTAAAATGAACTCCGTGTCCCTTGCCCCTCTTTGAAGAATCAAGGGAATTATCCCACAAAGTCTTAAGAGCAAAATAAAAGCCGTCAATGGCTTACAGTGCTGTAATTCAATTATTATATTCAAAATGTTTCTATTCAAGGAACCGTAGAATTTTCTTTTTAACTGTATGCTCCATTAGATAAAATACAGGGCTGAGAGTTTGATCCCCTATGTTGGTTGCCTTTGTTCCCACTAAGGCACTAAGGCACCTATTAAGTTCCTCCAGTACATTGGAGGTGCAATGACACACTCATATCAATAACAGCAGCTCACTTGCAGGAGTGATTCTCAACTTAGATTCTGTGTACATATTGGGTGGTGGTGCAAGGAGGGCAGGATACAACATGAGTATTTTTCTTTTATTTTCCAGTCGATCCTATTATCTTTCTATTATCTTTCCATTGATGATCACTGTACCGTCTTTTATCCTGTGCAAATGATGTGATACCATTACAAACTTTAGTCTCCCCATCTATAAAATTGGAATAATAATAAGTGCCATCCCTTTCTCATCTGATCGTTTTGAGGGTATATTCTATCCCAGATGATGGATTCAAAACCTGTTGGAAGGGAGCTTCCCTGGTGGCACAGTGGTTGAGAGTCCGCCTGCCGATTCAGGGGACACGGGTTCGTGCCCCGGTCTGGGAAGTTCCCACATGCCGCGGAGTGGCTGGGCCCGTGAGCCATGGCCGCTGAGCCTGCGCGTCCGGAGCCTGTGCTCCTCAACGGGAAAGGCCACAACAGTAAGAGGCCCGCCTACCGCAAAAAAAAAACCTCAAAAACAAAACAAAACAAAACAAAAAAAACCTGTTGGAGGACTTCCCTGGTGGTCCAGTGGTTAAGACACCCCGCTTCCACTGCAGGGGGCACAGGTTCGATCCCTGGTGGGGGAACTAAGATCCTGCATGCTGTGCGGCACGGCCAAAAAACAGAAAAAAAAAAAAAAAAAGCCTGTTGGAGCCAGTAAACTTAGTTCTATTTCATGGGTGCACATAAAGATCACATCTGCCCACTTCCTAGTTGATATGTTCGTGAACATGGGAAAACTGGCTGGATCAGTGCATCCAGCACCCTTATTGAGGAGACAACTTGAAATTCATCACCCACTAATGCGGGATCATTTTCAAATATGAAGGAGAGGTTATTACATTAAATAGGCATGCCCTTAGACCTCTCCCAAATTCAAACTGATGCTGTGTAGAGTACTCTCACCTGTTCTAACCTGTAAGTATTTCCTGATAGAACAAGAAGGATGAGGTGGGTGAACATTTGTGATTTTTTCTTCTTAATTGAGAAACTCCTTATATGGTCTTAAAAGATTATGTCACATCCTTGCCTTTGTAACTAATAATAAAACAAAGGAATGGGTGTGTATATTTAGTTGATTATCAAAATGAATACTTAGCTGACTTCAAACAGAATTTTTTACATTTTTGACTCAGTTTTAGTTGTTAATGTACTTTTCCATAAAACTTCTGTGAAATTTTGAATTTTGCTTGGTTGCTCATTTTAAAATATAAATTCTGTGAAAACTGTTTATAGCCAATAATTTCTCCTAGACTAGGACAATATTTTTCCTTTATTTTTAAATGTGTTCTCAAAAGAGAAGAGGCAAATAGTGAGGCCAAAAAAATTAGTTATATCTCTAATAATAAAAGTGAAAAAAGATTTACTATAAACTCTTTAATTGATTTTGTAATTGCTAATTTTTCTTCATAGTTATAACTTAATTTACAAACAATATCATGGTGTGTTGCCAGTGATTCCATAGCATAATTTTCTTCTCATTATGCCAAGGAGGAAACTTTAAAGCATTTTAGGCTTGCCCAGTCTTTAAGCTTGTGAATTATTCTTTGAAGTGGCCATTGACCTTGTCCACCACTTTCTCCAGGTTCAAATGTTTAAGGGCTGATTGCTAATTATATTCAAAATTGTTTCTTCACCATTTTCCAACCTATATTTCCTTCATTCTACTTCTATTCTTTTAAAAAAGAATACCAATTAGTTTGACCTTACAATGATAGAATGATAGGTATAACTTGTTTATTGAATTATAGTCAGTAGCGTGGAATGTGTTCCTTTCAAATCATTATTTATATATGCAGTATGTGCAGGTTTTTCTATCAGTGCAGATTATACGTCCCCTGATGGGCAAGAACTATGCATTGTATTTATTTTTAGTCTTCATGGTAATTAGCCTAACACATTGTAAGGGCTCAGTAAGTACATGGGAAATGCAACGCATCTGTCTTCCGTCACCTCCAAACTATTTACCATCTCCTTCTCTTTACTGTGATTTGAAGTTTATGTGGGAGAAACGGTATTTCTAGAGCAGTGGTTTGAAATTCTGGCTGGATATTAGATTCATCAGAGAAAAAAACCCAAAGTGATTCTCAGCTCTACCCAGACCAGTTTACATAGCTGGGTGAGATCCCGATCTTTTTTTTTAAAGATCCTCAAGTGGTTCTAACATGAAGCCAGCTTTGAGAAGCATTGCTCCAGACTAGAGCAGTGGCTTTTGTCCTTGGCTTCACATTGGAATCACCTGGAAAATGAAAAGAATACTGGTTCCTTGGCCTGCAGCCCTGAAACTCTAATTTAAGTCATCTGGGGTACACTGTAAGCATGGGGAGCTGTCAAACCTCCCCAGGTATTCCTCGTGTTTCATTAAGACTGATCTAGAGCAGTGATTCTCAAACATCAGAATCATCGGGAGGGCATGTTCCTGGACCTAACCCAAGGATTTCTGATTCAGTAGGGGTAGGGTAGGGCCCAGGGATTTGAATTTTCTACATGGTTCCAGGGGACGCCACTTCTGCTACCAGGCCAACACTTTAAGAACCACTGATCCTTTTTTCCCTCAAACTTTAAGATACTCATGAACGCCCTGAGGATCTCGTTAAAATACAGATTTTGATCCAGTAAATCTGGGGTGAGACTCAAGAGTCTGCATTTCTATCAAGCTCCCAGGTGATGCCAAGGCTGTTGGTGCTTGGACCACACAGAAAAAACATAAAGGGTTTTTCAGAAACCTACAGTAACAACTGTGACAGTCAGTACCCATTGACCCTTGATGTTTGCAATGGCGGATCGGATTATTGTGTTGATTTGGGGGGTGGGAGGTAAGAAGTTGGGGTGGCAGGTTTGGAGGCTGTTTTATATTAGGCAGCATCCACCTGGAAGGTTTTCATATTTGAAAGTCTGTTTTCCCCGACTCATTTCTTTGAAAGAGATGACAAATACCTTAAAACTAGAAATACTGAAAGGATAAATGACCTCTGTTGTTCAATAAATGAATAAATGTCAATTACCATTACATGGCCAAGAAAACCCAGCTTTTTAATATATCATTTTGTTGCAAGCCTCCATGCCCAGTTGAATCAGACAGGGTCTTAAGCAGTGTATTGTATTTGGGAAGATTTGAAAGTCTAAGAAGTTCACAACATCCCGGTAAAAAATGTGAACCTTTAAAAAAAAATAAAACTTGAAAAGTTCACATTAAAAAAAACAGGCAAGAATCATAAAGCAGGGATTTCCCTGGTGGCGCAGTGGTTAAGAATCTGCCTGCTAATGCAGGGGACATGGGTTCGAGCCCTGGTCCGGGAAGATCCCACATGCTGCGGAGCAACTAAGTCCATATGCCACAACTACTAAGCCTGGGCTCTAGAGCCCATGAGTCACAACTACTGAGCCTGCATGCCACAACTACTGAGCCCGCATGCCACAACTGCTGAGCCCACATGCCACAACTACTGAAGCCCGCTTGCCTAGAGCCCGTGCTCTACAACGAGAAGCCACTGCAATGAGAAACCCGCACACCACAAGGAAGAATAACCCCCGCTCGCTGCAACTAGAGAAAGCCCACGTGCAGAAATGAAGACCCAATGCAGCCAAAAATAAATAAAATAAATTAAAAAAAAAAAGAATGATAAAGCAAGCTCTGGAAATTAAGAGTCATGAGAAAATCTAGCCCCACTAGATAACAGAGTATATTTTAAGCCTCAGTAATTAAATAGTAGGGTAATATTTAATGCATAAACAGACAGAAAAATAGAAGAACAGAATAGAAAGTCTAGAAATAGAACCAAATTAGTGTGAGAATATATGATCTGATATTGTGATTTGATAAAGGTAGGACCCGATTTGAGGTCCAAAATCTACAAAAGACTGATAGATTTGACTACAGTTGACCCTTGGGTAACATGGGTTTGATCTGTACAGGTCCACTTATTTGTGGATTATTTAAAAAATACATACTACAGTACTACACGATCTTTAGTTGGTTGAATTCACAAATACAGAACTACAGATATGGAGGGCTGACTGTAAAGTTATACATAGATTTTCAACTGCGTGGAGGGTCAGTGCCCCTAACCCCCACTTTGTTTGAGGGTCAACTATACATAAATATCAAAAGCTTCTGCAAGAAAAAAGGCATAAGAAAGCCAAAATATAAAGAACTAGAAAAAATATTTCTAATTCATATCACAGCCAAAACACTAATAGCTCTAATATATAAAGAGCTCCTAGAAATCAATAAGAAAAAGACCAATATCCCAATATAAAAATTCACAAAAGATATGAATAGATAATTCACAGAAAAGTTAATACATATGGCTATTAAACATACGAAAAGATATCCAACTTTGGTCATTATAAGAGAAATCCAAATTAATACTACATTGGGATTCCATTTTCATCTATAATTAAACCAACAAAATTCCCAATTTTTGCCCAGTTTACCTCTGGGCAAAAAAGTATAGTCAAGCTGATGAGAGAATAAATTGGATTAACTAGTATGGGGGACAATTTGTTAATATCTACTTAAAATACAAATACTACA